GCACACGCGTCCAATGTGAGTTTAAGCCACCCGTTCTGGGACTCAAGCTGCAGTCGGCCACATGGGAGTCCAGCGACATAGCCATTGCGCCTATTATTACTATTTTTAATTTGACCAGAGAAAGAGAGGGAAAATGAGAAAGCAAGGTGCCAGAACCAGGACTTGAACTGAAATCAGCCCTGTAGAAGTCCAGCACCTTTAACTACTACGCCACCAACTGGCCCTTCTTTTTTATTTCCCCATGGCTTTTGAAATAGGGCAAGTGAGAAATCTCCTCCCAGAGAGGATGGCTACACTGTAATCCCTTCTCCTCTATTCTCCTCTTGGGATTTTGGGCACACACCCACATGTGCTGGGGTGTGATTTTTCAAGCCGCTGGGTCTGGGACTGAATTGCAGAGTTGGCCATGTGGGAATCTAGCCTTAGCCACTTTGCTACCTATTGGCCTTGTTTTGTGTTTTTGTTTTTTGTTTCTTTAATGGGTAAATTAAGTGGGTGGTAGTAGGGGTTTATAGGCTCTGTGCCACACATAGGGTATTCCAGAATGAATGGCGTAGGGGGCTAGATGGTGGTGCGGTGGTAGAACATGACGCACTTCAAGGCTGACTTACCTGGGAAGATTCTGGATTCACATTCAGACTTTCCCAAGGGTGTAAGTCCATGATCCAGCCTGGCTGAAACTGGTTGTCAATTAAGGTTTCAAGGCCTGTTTGGGGGTATGTCTCTCTGTTTCCCTCACAGAAGAAATAAACTTTTTTTTTTTTTTTTTTAAAAAGGTTGAATGACATATTTTACATTTTTTCAGAGATAGTGAAGGACAGTTTGTGAGTATGTAAACATAAATGAATCGGGACCATGACTTCAATAGTGATACACTTGATAGCATGTCATATAATTACTTTAAGAGCATTAGTAGGGGGCATGGTGGTTAAGGTGCCAGACTTCCACATGGCTGACCATGGTTCAAGTCCTGGACCTGGCGGCTTGCTTTCTCACTTTCTCTCTTTGGTGAGCGTACATGTCCTATAGCAAATTAAAATAAAATAATGAATAAAATTAAATAATTCTTTTTTGAAAAGGATGCAAGTAATATGCTAGATACATCCATAAGTTTTCTCCTTTTGGTTTTCTCATCTCCTACACCTTACCTGTTGGTACATCCTTTCTGTTATGCTCTCAGTATACTTTGCATATGCTTGCTTTTTTTCCTAGTCTGGTATTTATGTTCTATTATTTTCATGCCACTGTCTTGAATATTTTCTCCCCATGTGGTAGCTAGAGTCATCTTTTAAAAATGTGAGTCAGTTTTTCCTTACAACCCTCTAGGGGCTTCTCAGTACACTTGGAGTAAAACTCAACTCCTTCTAATGGCTGAGCCATCACCTTGGAGGATCTTGCTTGTTGAGAGATTAATGAATGCTGTGAGAACTCAAAGGAGGGAGCAATTAATTCTGACTTTGGGGACCCCAAGAAGACTTACAAGATAGAAGAGTATGTGATGTAGGTCTTGAGTAGTTTTGTAGAAGAAATTGTGTATCTAGGAGGCATTTGAAGACTGCTAGGCATTGCCATATGCATGCTTTTTCTTTTATTTGAGAAGTGATGATTAATAAGGATGTCTTTGAAAGGAAGTTACTGTTCATTAAAGATTTGGCTTTATTGTGGTACATAAATAGTGTATGTAAGAATAGCCAAGCAACTCTCAGTCCACTTATGTAGCGAGAAACATTCTGCTCCCTGGTACCTATGAGAATGGGGTTTGTCTAGCATTCTGTACCATCATCTGTGTCTGCTCAAAACAGCTGTCAGTGCCCAGAAGTGAATTACCTAACAAAACCACTACATTGTAATGTAGCATCATGGTTTTTAGACTGTCTTTTCTTTTAAACCATTGACTCTAGCCTTCTGATGCTAGTACCAGAATTACCACCAGGAAAAAAAGAAGTGTAATCGACTGTGTATGGCAGCTGCATTGGGTCATAAAAATGAAGTTTTCGTTTATAGCTAAGTTAGTGTCTGATCTTCACAAAACTAGTTAGTAAATGTAATCTCCTGTCATTCCTTTACTGACTCAGCATCTTGAAGACTGACTAGGTGTTTATTTGAGGCTTGTCAATGATGCAGATCAGATGGTAGCGTAGAGCTGCGTTGCTTTATTGTTTGTATATACACAGTGTACATGTAGTAATACTTCCTGTTGTGACTAAGGCCAGCCACACTTTAAAGCAACCCTTGAGTAAGTATTTCATCGGATGTAGGAGAAATGGAAAAAATGCACACGAAGTATATAGTTTTCTCAAAAGCTGGAGTTATTTTCCTTAGTGATTTGCTTTTATATTGAGGTTTTTATTCCTATTTTAGGTTTCCAAAGTGTCCTCATTGGTAGTCTCACTCTGATCCCTTTCTCCTCAGTTGCCTACTTGGCAAATGGACCAAAATACTGGTAACCAGTTCTTTGTTGAAATGTATGTGTCCATGAAATCTAAAACTTGGTACCACTTGGTTTATTTTAAATGTCACACTTAAAATCAGAGTTAATACGTGAGATTTTTCTTTCTCATATCTGTATTCTATTCTCCCTCACTAATTGGGTGTCCAACAATTCATGCCATTCTGGAGTTAACACAGACTCCATAGGCTAAGGGCTTAGTCTAGTAAGACTGTCCCCCCCGCCCCCCCATGCTGCTGCGTATGGGTTCTTTCTGGCCAACTATAAATTTTAAATTTAACCCTCCCTCTCACCCCTACTTGATAATTACCTAAAATAATTCCCAGAACTCAGGCAGTGCTTTACTGTCCCTGGTTTATTATGAAGGACACAACTCGGGACAGCCACATGGAAGCAAGCATAGGGTATAGTATGAGGTGGAGGTATGTCCGACTCACCTAGTACATCAGTGTGTTTACTAGTCTGGAATGTCTCAGAATCCTGTTAAGTTTTTTTGGAGTTTTTGTTGTTTCTTTTTAATTTGAGAGAGAGAGAGTGTGCACGCACTCTACTGAGGTGTGGGCATGCCACAATCCCTTCGCCATTTCTCCTGTCAGGGTATTGGGCATGCATATACACATGTATGTGGTGTGGTTTTTCATGCCTCTGGGCTGAGTTTCAGATGTGCAGTCGGCCATGCAGATCTGGCTCCCTTCACAATCAGGCCATGGGACTATCTCTGGAGCTTTCTTTACATAGGCATGATTGATTAAATTTTTATCCAGTAGTGGCAGAACTTAACCTACAGTCCTTCTTTCTTCCCCAGAAAGGGGAGGAGCTTTGTGACAGGCCTTGAAGCAAGCCTGATGATAAAAAAAATTCTATCTGGGACCAGCAGTTGGTATAATGGTTATGTTGTTGGACTCCCATGTAGTCGACCACAGTTCGTGTCCCAGACCCAGTGGCTTAAACTCACGCCAGGCACGTGTGTGTGTGTGTGTGCGCCCAAGATCCCGAGAGGAGACTGGAGGAGAAGGGATTGCGGCATGGCCATCCTCCTGGGGGGTGATTTCTCGCTTTCCGTCTCTCTCTGTCTGTCTGGCAAGCACATGCGCCCTATAGCAAAACCTCTCCCCCCAAAAAAAATTAAAAACAAATTCCATCTGTAAAGAGGTAGTAATCACTGACAGGTCACCAATATAATAAGCATATACATAGGTAAACAAGTAATTGGTACTAGCAGTTGTATTCAGTTTACTTAAATGAATCTATACTGAGATTCAGATGAAAATACCTTGTGTTGCTTGACTTAGTGCTTTTTTGCGGATCCTCCCCTTTTGGTCTCTTATTCCACCTTATTTACGCCTTTTGCATTAGACTCTACCCATAAGGACGGGAAACCTCTGTAGTTTCTTGCTCCCAGTAATACCACCAATTGTCGATTGACTTCTGGGCTGGGTAAGCCTGGTTTACATGGCTGTGTGGGGTATTTAGCACATGTAGGTATCATCAGTTCAAAGTTTGTTTGTTTGTTTTACAGTGAACAGAGTATCTGTCAGGCCAGAGCTGCCGTGATGGTTTACGATGATGCCAATAAGAAGTGGGTGCCAGCTGGTGGCTCAAACGGGGTCAATTTCATATATATCACCATACAGGCAACAACACGTTCAGAGTGGTGGGCAGGAAGATTCAGGACCATCAGGTAAGGGTCTATTAGCATATATTTAAAGGTGATCAAGTATTACAAAAGGACTTGGCATATTTAGTAAAATTAAGTAGTGCTTTTAAAACTAATCAAAATATGGTCTCTAAGTGTCAGTGGTTTTTCGACTTTATGATGGTGTGAGAGCAATGCGTATTCAGTAAGAAATAGTACTTTTGGGGCCGCAGGTGGCATAGTAGTTAAGGTGCTGGATTCGCACATGGCCAAGCACTGATCAGAGTCCTGGTCCTGGTGGCTTGAAAATTGTGCCTTGTGTGTATATGGATTCCCAAAATTTCATGGGGATAGTAGAGGAGAAGGGATAGTGGCATGGCCATACCCCTAGGGGGTAACTTCTCACTTTCCCTCTCGCCGTCTCTCTCTGGTGAGCTCATTTGTCCTAGGTTAAAAACCTTTAAAAAAAAGAAAAATAGTGCTTTGAATTTTGATTTTTCTCCAGTGTGCTGTGTTCAATAACATGAACTATTCAACACTTAGTTATAAAATAGTCTTGTGTTAGATAATTTTGCACAACAATAAGTTAATATTAGTATTCTGAGTACATTTAAGGTAGTCTAGGCTATGGTGTTTGGTAGTTTCATTGTATTAAATGCATTTTCAACTTAAGATGTTTTCAATTTATGTTGAGGACATAACTCCCTGGTAAATTAAGCAGCTGTAGTCGCTAGGAAAGATTAAGTGTAAGTTTCTCTCTCTACTCTTTCTACCATTTATTAACCTCGAATTTAGTTGAAGATTTAGAATTAATTATACAGAAATGTAAGCAGGAGTTTTTCTATTATGAACATTTATTAAATCATCTGGCCTTTTCTTTAGCTACTGTTTGGAATCTGAAGTAAATTTAGGGCAAACAAAAATGAAATACTACAGAGGACAGTGGGTTGTGTGGTGATTGAATCAACTAGATCCCACATGGCCAACTGAGTGGTTCGAGTCCCAGACCTGGTGGCTTGAGAAACACTCCTAGCACATGTTTGTGTGTGTGTGTGCCCAAGGTCTCAAAGGGAGAAGAGGAGAAGGGATTGTGGTGTAGTCATCTCTCTGCGGTTTCTTTCTCACTGTCCCTCTCTCTCTGTCTTGATCTCTCTGATGAATATATGTGTCCTATAGCAAAACTAAAAACCAAACGAACAGACAAAAAATAAAGTGAAATACTATTTAAGTAGCAGATTGTATGTTTATAGAATGTATGTTGGGGTATGGGACTAGAGGTAGGAGTCAAACATGTCAATAGTTTCAGAAAATACTGTTACTTTTTTAAAAATAATTATTTCATTTTATTTATTCATTCATTTTTTTTTTTTTTTCAAATTTGACCAGAGAGAGACAGATGTTGAGAGTGAGAGAGAGAGGAAGCAAGAAAGCAAGCCACCAGATTCAGGACTTGAACCCTGGTTAGCCATGTGGGAGTATCCAGCACCTTAACCACCACGCCACCTGCTGGTCCCATTTATATATGACAGAAAAGTATTAAGGTTGCTCAGATAGCCTCTTGCAGTTCATATCTGTAATGACAACCATGCTTTTAGTAATTCTGCTGGATTTCCTAGAAAGTAGCTGGATTATTTGATTACTTGGGCCTTAATAGATCTGGAACACTACACAGAGGAAAAATGAACAGTTTCAATAGCATTAACTATATACTAATAGCAATAACTTTTATACAGAGTAGATTTACGGAATACTTTTAAAAAAGTGTTTTTCATGGATGTTGGAATCAACTTGTATTAAAATCTTCCTGCTACACATACAGCAAAAATGTAAGAAATTTTCTTCTCCAGTCAGCTGAGCTCTTCTTACTAGAGTAAGGTAGAACCCCAGGTTTCTAGGAAGCATGATAGTGTAGTGAGTGAACAGATGCTGTACTGGCCTTAGGTTTTATGTTGGTAGTAGCTAGGAACTTCGATTTGTCATACATGAATACAGGGACTGTGGGCCTATGAGAAGGTGGGCTTTGAAACTGATACCTCTGGAAAAAATGGAACTCCTAGGTGACTGTACTCCATAAAGAGTACTAAGACACTCCTACCCATGTGAGGAGGCAAAGGAGCTTGTTGCTGTATGAGTTGGTTTAGGAGCTCTCCTTACAAGTGAGAAACTCCTTCACTTAATTCAACTCCAGCCAAGAAATTGTAAAAAAAAACACCAGTTACAGGCCAGTGAAACTCATGAGGGACTAGGTAAAACCATGTTCGTTATTCCTCTGTCAGTCTGCAGAAAGAGCAATTAACTGAATTTACCAACGTAACACAAATACCTGGCCTGCCCCTCTTTTTGCCGTCTCAGGCCCCCTTCTTTCTTTGTCTCTTCCCTGTGACCCTCGCCCTTTACACTCCTGTCCCCTCCCTGGGCGCTCTCCTTTTTCTCTGTGCTCCAGTGTCCCTGCTGTGTGGCACGGCCTTTCTCCAGTATCGCCTCTCTGTATCAAGAGCCTCCGCCATTCCATTGGTTGTCTGGGTTGTGCTTGAGTGTTTTCTCTCTCTTTGTCTTTCTTCTAGCAGAGTGTTCCAGCAGTGAATTGCTGTGTGGCACGGCCTTTCTCCAGTATCCCCTCTCTGTATCAAGAGCCTCCGCCATTCCATTGGTTGTCTGGGCTGTGCTTGAGTGTTTTCTCTCTGTCTTTCTTCTAGCAGAGTGTTCCAACAGTGAATTAGGCCAGAAACAAACCAAATACTTTCTAATATTCTATTATAGAATATTGTTGAACATTCTTAATATAGCATTCCAAATTAATAACTGTAAAATAAATACATTTTTGGTAAATTTGGCAAGCTCTGGTCATTTTACAGTACACTGATGAACAATCAATATAAATAAAAGTGTTGAGAATAAAGGAAATGAGTATTTAAAAATAATTAGAAAGGAATTTAAGGCAGGAAATTTTCATACAAAATGCTAACATTTTTATTCATAAAAGAATTAAACTACTGTATGACTGATTCTGACAGCATGTTTCTTAAAATGTTTGGAAATTTAAAATCATGCTTCTAAATCATTTGTGACACTAAAATGAAATCATTATGAAGATGAAAGAATTTTTAGAAAATAAAATATTACATGAAGAAACCTGGGGGCACCTTAAGCTATCTTTAGATGAATAAGTCTTAACTCATTTAATAGAAAAAAGAAAAGAAAAAATATGAGCTTAACCCAAAGAAAGCAGAAGAAAATACTAAAAAGAAATTACTTAAGTAAAAATAAAGAAATCATTAATATAAAAGCTGCTTCATTGAATAGATAAGCTAGACAAATAGGCAGATTCCAACAAAAAAAGCCAAAAGGCAATAAACAATATTAGGATTGAAAAATGAATACCACTGTAGTTACAGCGAGGAAATAAAAATTTCAAAAAACTTTATGCCAAGGAATGGGCCATTTTGTAGAAAAACAAAATTTTCTGAATCTGACAAAAAAGTAGAAAAACATAATATGCCTATAATAATTAATAAATCAATAGTTAATAATCCACTCCCAAATTTAAAAGAAAATGATTCAGTGGGAGTTCAGAATATCTACAAATGAAATCTAAAAATCTCAGTATTACCTGTTTTATGCAAACTGTTATAGAGAATGGTATTTTATAAGGCAAATATAGTTTTGATACCTAAAACATAGAAGAACAGCTTGAGAGACGAAAATTATATTTCAATTTCAATAATGAATATACACAAGATAGAAAAATCCTCAATAAGATACTAGCAACCCAAATGTAGTAATGTACACCAAAAACAAAACAAAACAAAACAATACAAAAGACTACCTCTTCACCACCTAGGACTTTTCTTTATCTCAATAACGTAAGGATAGTTTTGTTTTGTTTTGAGAGGTGTGTGGTTTTTTTTTTTTAAGAGGTTTTTGCTATAGGGTGCATGCGCTCGCTAGACAGAGATAGACAGAAAGCGAGAACTCACTCACCCGCGTGGATGGCCACGCCGCAATCCCTTCGCCTTCATTGTCCTCTCGGGATCTTGGGCACGCATGCACACGCGCCTGGCGTGAGTTTTAAGTCACTGGGTCCGGGACGCGAACCGTGGTCGACTACATGGAAGAGCACACCTAGGTTAGACAAACCTAACTTTTTTTTAGAGAGAGAAATTTTTGCTATAGGATACTTGCGAGACAGAGAGACAGAAAGCAAGAAGTCACCCCTCAGTGGGGGTGACCACGCTGCAATCCCTTCTCCTCCATTCTCCTCTCAGGATCTTGGGCACGCATGCACACGCGTCCGGAGTGAGTTTTAAGCTGCCGGGTCAGGGACTAGAACTGCGGTTGACTACGTGGAAGTCCAGCAACATAGCCATTATGCTAATTGCTGCTTCCTGTAAAGATAGTTACACAGTAGATAATCTACTGATGTAATTTGCCAGGAATAAACTTATAAAAAAAAACAAAGAGATTCGGAAAGAGCATTTGATAAAGTTGAAATTGACACACAATAATTCCGAGAATATCAAGCAGAAGAATGAGTTTTCCTAACCTGATAAGAGTAGATAATGTAAGCGTGCAACAAACATCTGATAGGATGAAACAATGTCAGGAGTGTTTCCATTAAACTTATTATTAAGTTAAAGATTGCACTTTTAATCACTTTTACCTCGTGTTGCAGAGGAAGTTCTAGAGAACCTAGCAATACAAAGATAAAGAAATAGAAACTGTAAAGATTGATCATGAAGGAACAGGTGGCCTTATTCACCAGTGATATAATTGTTATGTAAAAAAGCCTCAACTGTATCTGCAGTTAAATGATTAGAATTCATAAGGATGTTCAGCAAGATTGTTGGATGCAAAATCAGTTTATAAAAATCCATAATTGGGAACCAGCAGTTAGCGTAATGGCTATGTTGCTGGACTCCCACGTATTCAGTCGCGGTTTGCGTCCTGGACCCGGTGGCTTAAAACTCATGCCGGGTGCCTGTGCGTGCGTGCCCAAGATCCCGAGAGGAGAATGGAGGAGAAGGGATTGCGGCGTGACCATCCCCCCGGGGGTGATTTCTCACTTTCTGTCTCTATGTCTCTCTCTGTCTGTCTAGCGAGCGCACGCACCCTATAGTAAAAATCCATAACTGGGCCACCAGGTGGCATGGCAGTAGTTAAAGTGCTGGACCCTCCCACGTGGCCAGCAATGGTTTGAGTCCCCAACCTGGTGACTTGAAAATTACACTGGGTGCATGTACATGCATGTCAAAGATCCCCAGGAGGAGAAAGGAGAAGGGATCCCAGCATGACCATCCTCCTAGGGTTGATTTTTCCCTTTCCCTCTTAATGTCTCTCTCCAGTGAGTGCACCCACCCTGTGGCAAAAATCTAAAAAAACTAAAATATAAAATATTTTTGTATAACTAGCAATAAAGAGAAAATGCAATTTTATAAAAATAGTCCTTAAAAATTATAGCATTTAGCCTCAGAATAAGTCTAGTAAATTATTGGTTTCCCCTCATTCCAAGGTTTATTGTTGCATTTCATAATGGTTATCAGTCTAAGTGGAAAACATTATTACAGTTTTTTAAACACCAGAACTTTCTGTAGTAATAGCTATTTAAAGTCACTCTCCATTTATTTGTAAAACTGAATTTGTACAAATTATATAAATATATATTGTATTAAATATTCTGTTTTCCTGCTTAACAGTTATTAAGTGCTTATTATGTCCTAGGTCCTGTGCTTAGGTTTATGTAGATAACAGAGCTCCTGGCATTGAAGGAAAGATACTGTAAAGAATGGGGAGATTAAGTGTGTAAGCAGAGAAGTGCAATTTAATGTTTCAGTTATGGTAAATGTAAATCGTAGCACAGAGAGGCCGTAAAAGTCATCATTTCGTAGAGAAGATACGGAAAAGGGTCATTAATGACTTCATAGGTAGATAAGGTACTGAGCCAAATCACGAGAAGGAGGAGGTATTCACTGCCCTGCTGACTCTGTTAAGATCAGGCTGAAAATGGACAGACACGTGTAGGGTGGAGCATCACCACCAGTCTAGACTCAGGCTTATCAGATCTAAAGCACAGAATTTAGGATTATTATGAAGTTCAGGCTTGACAGCATGCCCAGTAGCTATTCAGTGATTAGTTATTATTAAGTGAAGATGTGTGTTTCTGTTTCACTTTTTTTTTTTTTTGAAGAGAGAGATTTTTTGCTATAAGGAGCCTACACTTCCAGAGAGACAGAGAGATAGAAAGCAAGAAATCGTACCCCAGAGTGGATGGCCATACCACAATCCCTTCTCCTCCATTCTCCTCTTGGGATTTTAGACATGCGTGCACATGGCACCCGGTGTGAGTTTTAAGCCACTGTGTCTGGGACTTGGACTGTGGTCAACTATGTGAGAGTCCAGCAATATAACCATTATGCCATTTGCTGGTCCCCCTGTCTTATTTTTAAAGCTTTTAAAGATTATTTGCATATTTTCTAGCCTCATAGGTTAGGCAAATGGAAGAACTGATTCACTTTGAGCAATTTTTTTAAAAAGAATTATTTATTTTTTTTCCATTATTATGTTAATTTGCCACAGGTTACGTTGTGCATTCACCAGAGACAGACAGAGAGAGAGTGAGAAAGCAAGCCACCAGGTCTGAGACTCTAACGGTGGTCCACCATGTGGCCTTAATCACCATGCTACTTGCCCCAAAGTAAATAAAATTTTTTTAACGAGACTCTAACGGTGATCCACCATGTGGCCTTAATCACCATGGTACTTGCCCCAAAGTAAATAAAATTTTTCATGTTAGAAAAAGTGAATGATTCATATACATGAATGATATGTAATACTAATATTCTGTTACTGAACAGTTAAAAAAAGTAAATGTAACACATCTTTTATTTGCCGTTTTAATTTATTTCTTAATCAAGCAGAGATACAGATTTACCTTAAAATGAGATTTATAATTTTCTGATGGTAGTGAATTTGGGTAGTTTAGGATTTGTAGTAGCTAAAGGTTTGTGGCTCTCTAATATTTAAAAAAATCACATGGTAAGAGGTCATTTTTTTTATTGTGGTAAAATACATATAAAATTTATCATCTTAACCACTTCTTTGGCATCAGCTACATCCACATTGTTGTGTAACCATCACTATCTTCTTTTTTCTTCTTTCTTTTCTCTTTTCTTTTCTTTTCTTTTCTTTTCTTTTCTTTTCTTTTCTTTTCTTTTCTTTTCTTTTCTTTTTCCTCCTCCTCCTCCTCCTTCTTCTTTTTCTTTTTTGTTTTTATTTTTTGGAGCAGTTTTTGCTATAAGGTGCAAGCACTCTCCAGAAAGAGAGAGACAGAGAGCGAGAAATCACCCCCCAGGGGGTATGGCCACACCACAGTCCCTTCTCCATTCTCCTCTCGGGATCTTGGGCACACACGCACACGCACCCGGCATGAGTTCAAGCCACTGGATCCAGGACTTGAACCGCAGTTGACTACATGGGAGTCCAGTGACATAGCCATTACGCTAACTGCTGGTCCCCAAGTGTCATCATATTTTAACGATAAGTTAAAAATCAAGTTTATTGATTGATAGGGCAGCTCTGATAAGCATCTCCCCATACTTCAATCCTCCCCCCAGCCTTCCAACTAACCAAGGTTGCAGGTGTATCTAGTATGTTTTAGATGGATCCAGATCTGAACCTGGGGCCTCCTTTCTGGCTCCAAGTATTAAACAGCAGTACTCAACTGCCTGCACTGCTGTGGCTGGGCCTAAAGATTAAGTTTAGACATTAGTGGATGAAGTAATTTAGGTAGAGCCTCTTTGAGAAAATATTAAAATATATTTGGAGAACTGTAGCAAGAAAAGCTTATGGGTTCATGATCTGAGAAAATAAAGAGCCAGAGAGTATGCCCAGCTTTGGAACTGTTTTTACATAGAGGTATATGTAAGTTTTGAAAAAGCGGACTGCAAAGTTGATTACAGCTTTTGGCACATTCACGGGCGCATACAACAAAAATTACTTTAGAGTTTGCTAATGAAGGGTAGTTGTTAACTTAGTAATAACCTCCTAGGTCATGATTTGGAACCCAGAATCCTCATATCCTAAGAGGAAGTCTGACTCAGAATTAGGCTGGCCTTTTCAAGCACTGAAACCCAGCCTCTAATCATTTCCATCACTGTTTGGATTAAGGTGATTTGAATTTGTTTGAATTTGTTTCCCTAGGTGCTTGCCAGAAGCAAATGGAAATCTTTTTGAAAAATGTAACATTATTTTAGGCCTCAAAGTTTCCATACTTTGCTATACATGATGTCTGGCACTCAATCAAAATAACAAGGCATGCAAGGATACAGCAAGATACTAATAGAATAGACCCCATGGGGATTCATATATTGGAATTATTAGAAATTACTGCTGTTTGCAACTCAGTAATAGATTTTATAACAGATTAGAAATAGTTGAGAAGAAATCATGAGCAGGAATATAGGTCAGAAGAAAATATTCCAACTACAGCTAAGATATCCAATAGAGCATGAGAGAGTACAATATTTTATTGTGAATCAGGAAAATACAAACTGAAACTGCAGTGATACAGTATTTATGCCCACCAGAATTACTAAGGCAATATTTACTGTAATGTTGCATAGTGTATAGAGTTGTGCATGCTGTTGTATACTCCTGCGGAAGTATAAATTGATAGAACCAATTTCGAAAGCTACTTGGCGTTTTCTACTGAAGGTGGATGTACACATGGCCTGTGTACTGCTAGGTATATGCCTAATAAAAACTTGTGCCTGTGTGTACCAGAAGATGTTTAGTAGAATGTTTGTACCATTACTATTTATAGTAGCCCCAAACTGCATATAATCCAAATATTTATTAATGGAAGAATGGGTAAACACAATTCATACAAAGGAATACTGTAGTCCAACGAAAATCAGCAAACCACAACCATATAAAGCAAATAGATGGCTCTCATAAACATACTTTTATGAGAAAGAAGGCAGATATGGTACATATTGTGTAATTCCATTTTGTAAAACCCAGAAAACTAGTTTTAAGTTCCTGGAAATGTGGCTAGTACCTTTTGGAAAGTGGGATGAGTTAAGAAGGGAATTTCTGTTGATCTTCTATTTCTTGATCAAGGTGTTGGATATATAGGACTATTTAAGTTTTATATACTATCTTGTATTTGTAATATTTTAAAAGATGTGTTAATGTGGGATGTAGGGGCCAGCAGTTAGCGTAATGGCTATGTTGCTGAACTCCCATGTAGTCTATTGCGGTTTGAGTCCCGGACCTGGTGGCTTATGCTCATGTTGAGCGCGTTTGCATGTGTGCCCAAGATCCTGAGAAGAGAATTGAGGAGAAGGAATTGTGGCGTGGCCATCCCCCCTGGGGAGTGATTTCTTGCTTTCTATTTCTCTGTCCCTCTCTGTCTTTCTGGTGAGCGCATGCGCCCTATAGCAAAAACCTCTGAACTAAAAAAGTGGGATATAGATTTTCTTTCGTTCAGTTATTTATTTTTTAAGAATTTTTAAAATTTAATTTTATTTATTTCATTTATTTTAATTTGACGAGAGAGAAAGTGAGAAAGCAAGCCACCAGGTCTGGAACTTGAACTGTGATCGGCCAGGTGGGATTGTCCAATGCCTTAACCACCATGCCACCTGCTGGTCTCTGAGTTACTGTTTTAAGCAGACCTTTGTAACCATCAGACAGCCTGATTTTCATCAGACTGATCATATTTTTATAGACTAATGTTACCCTAGACAATTGTTGAAACCATTTTTGCCAAGGTCTGTTAGGGACAGGTTTGAATATATACGAAGAATTTATTTATTCACTTCCTTGATTTTGCCAATAAGTTTAACTTTATAAAATATACTGTCTTTTAGGTCGTGATAAATTGTGCCATTCCTAAAGGGTTGAAGTACAATCAAGCTACACAGACCTTCCACCAGTGGCGAGATGCTAGGCAGGTGTACGGTCTCAACTTCGGCAGCAAGGAGGATGCCAATGTCTTCGCAAGTGCCATGATGCATGCCTTAGAAGTGTTAAATTCACAGGAGACAGGTATGGCCTTCGCGATTTATTGTGTTCTAGAACCGAAGTGCCACGCTTATGTTAAAGCGAATCTTCTTGTCAATTTTTAGATCATATGCTTATTGAATTTCTATTGCTTTCTACAAAACTCTGAACTTTTCTTTGTTGATGAAAAACATAGTGTAGAAGGAGACTCCTGTGAGTTTAATTAGTCTACTAGGTTTTTAAACCTTGACATTTGAAGTTATTTAGTTATGTTCATCTTGCCGTAGAAACTACTTTTGTTGCAAGGGCATGAGGTCTGGAGAAGATACAGTGGATAGGAGGAAGTATGTGTATTTCTCATTATCTTAGTCTTTATGAAGAAACACATATGTTTTGTGAGACACATTTTTCAAGCCACTGCTGAGCCCATAATCTTCAAGTATGACTATCTCCTGTTTCGTCAATAAAAAAATTGATTCTAAAAGTTGCTTAAAGATTTTAGGACTGCCCTCAGGTGGTATGAGCAATGAATTGCATCTCCTCTGACCCTGCAAGGTATTAGTTAGGAAGATACATAGAAATATTCACTTGAAAAAATTCAGTATTTATAGCTGCATTTGTGTCAGGGATGGGCTCATTTTTTGCTTTAAAAATAGAAAAAGAAATGTGCCAGCGTGTGGTTATTTTTTTGAAGAGATTTTCAGAATCAGAAAATAAGTGTTATATATGAAAATAACACAAATATGCTTACTCTTCCTATGTTGTGTAATTGTTTTAATGATACAAATTGCTATAAACAATTTTTATATATATTAGTAGGAAGCAATTATACTCAAATGAAAATTGGATATTTTGCTGAAGGTTTAGCACTTCTAAACCTGTTATAAATATGTTGTTATATTTATTTCGTGCCTTATTCTAAAAAGAATTGAAGCATCTAGCTCGTGTTAATCTATTGGGTTGTCAGAAAAGTCATGATGCATTTTTGCATAGAAAAACATAGAAAAATATGTCATGACTTTTCCAGTGACCCAATAAATGGAATTTTGGAGGAAGAGGACATTTTGGAATCTTACAGAAAATTTGTTGGGCCCTTATATGTTTTTTATTAGATCTGCTTTTGAAGAAATTAATATCTATAAATATTTTTACATGGGTCTCACATTTTATCGATTTTGAGAAAATAAACTGCTGGAACTTCTCTTGGTTTATATCCAGAAAATAGAGTAGGAAAATCTGTATGTCTTGTATGTAGTTCATCTCTGTAGTTTTCTCATAGGTGTCAGTATTTTATCAATATTCTGTAGTAGCTGTAGAAGCACTTTTTATTCACTATAGTGTTTAATATCTTTCATTTTAATGTATTAGTTAATAAATAAGGGAAGGACCAAACTTTCTTTCTTTCTTTTTTTTTTTAAGATTTTTGCCAGAGGGCTCATACACTCACTGGAAAAAGAGAGACAGAGAGAGGGAAAGTGAGAAATCACCCTCCAGGGGGAGATGGCTATGCTGCAATCTCTTCTTCTTCTTTATCCTGTTGGGATTTTGGGAACACATGCACATGACCCAGTGTGATTTTCAAGCCACTGGGCTGGGGACTTAAACTGTGGTCGGCCATGTGGGAGTCCAGTGCTTTAACCACCATGCCACCTGCTCTCCCCATGAAGGGGCCATACTTTGGAGAGTATGTGTGTGACAATATTTGACTTTTCACATTTGGAACAAATTAGCATTATGTTTTTTCTAAACCTTCAAAGAGTGCAGTAATATTAGGAGCTAAACATGACTTATTTGAAGTAGTATAAATTATTGTCCTTCTTGTCATTGATTTAAAAAAAAAAAAGAAAAAAAAAACCTAAATGGGAAGGGCTGGCAGGTGGTGTGGTGGTTAAAGGCACTGGATTCCCACATGGCCAGCTACAGTTTGAATCCTAGACCTGGTGGCTTGCTTTCTTGCTTTCCCTTTTTCTCTCTGGTCAGATTAAAAAATAATAATAACAAATGGAATTAAATAAATGAATAATTCTTAAAAAAATAAAACAACCAAATGGGAAATACTGTTTTTATCTGTGAATAGTCATAGTGCAAATGCCTTCCAAGTACAAATGCTAATTAATATCTTTTTCCTTCTGATCTTGATCTTTTGAAGTACTGAGTCTTAATGAAGAGAGGCTGAGTCAGAATAAGAATCAGAGCCACATTATAGAAGGGCTGGCAGATGAGAATATCTCCCGTCGTTTCAGTAGCTACACAAGCTTTTTGATGTGGTGAACAATATTACTAGGATTCTTGATAATTTTGATACTTCATTCTTTGTCATATTCTCACCCATTAATACCATGGGCTGAGGAAATGAGGTCATGGTGAAAGAAGTTGTTCCATCTTAACCTGTCTCTCTGCATCATGGACAAAGTCACTTGCGAAAAAGCTTTTGATTCTGTGGCTTTTTTTTTAATCAGTGAAAACACAGCATATGAAATGGTTAATCTTGTAAATAGTCTGATATATTTAGTCTGCTTTCATGAATTACTGTAGTTAAACACTAATTTCTGATTTTTGAGGGCGTTAATTGGCTCGGAAATATCAACATGGGAGGGGAGAGAGGTTAAGAATCAAGAGCGTCCTTGGGAAGGGATATAGTTTTTTAAGCAAGTATCCAAGGCAGGACACATGTGTACCCTACCCCAGTATCACTGAGTGAGCACCCTCCCATCTACCCAGTGAAGCCACCTCTAAGCTTGATGGTACCTTCCTCTGCCAAAGCTGTTTCCTTAGGTTCACAGCCAATTCTCTGCTGAAACCATTTGCTGTCTTCCTGCCAAAACCATGTTGAAAAAGCTTAACTGTGTACCCTTTCTCTGAACAAACAATAGCCTGATAAAACTCTGAAGGGAAGCAAAAGAACAAACTTATTCATAAAGGTAAAGCAACTCCAGATAGTCTTAATTGCTTCTTAGTATTTTATCGCTCTTTAAACCATTTTTCTATATTGAACATTTCTATTTATATTTTTTGTTTTTTAGATATTAGTGTTAAAGTTATCCTTTATCTTTTTATTAGTTAATCCTTCTCAGTGATTTTCAGACATTTAAAAGCTAATGCACACCGTTGCTCTAATGAAACCTTTTTTAGAAGCTCAGTGTATAAATGAACCAAGAAATAGAGCTTCTCTGATGAATGTTGAGGTTGGGGCACCCAGCAACTGAGGTACTTACATAATTTGTTAGAGTAAGAATTTGCGAACTACTAACCTCTTTTTGGCAAAACCAATAATCATACAGTTTACCCTTTTTCCTCCCTGACACTTTCCACTGCGGTCTCTGAATCCTTAAGCAATTCTTTAAAATTTGTAAGAACAGTTCTTCTGGAGGCTAGTCATATTGACCTTTACAAGGCCCTCTGTGTATGTGGATGTGCCTTAATATTTCCATTTTTTAATGAAAAGGGTGGGTGGCAAGAATGTTTTCCTTTATTTTGTTTTTAACTTGGTATGCAATTATCTAATATACTGGAAAGTACAGAAGGTGCTAAATACAGTGAGTTATATTTGGAATTAAAGAAAAATACAAAAATCACATGTTTTAACATTTTCGGAAAAAAAAAAAAAACACAAACTGAATTAGTGCTCTTTCTTTTATACCAAATGCTACAGTTTCATCTTTTCCTTTCCTTAATGGAAATGGACTTGATTTTCAAAAAGTATATTACTCAGATTGATGTTTTAAATTTCTGTGTTATTTATTGAGTACATTTATAGATTTTTATAGATAATAGTTATGGATGTTATAAGCCACCAGAATCAATTCTTGTAAAGATTGCATAATCAGCTTTATTTTGTAAAGGCTTAAAATAATTTGAATATAGGAAATAATTGTTTAAAAGTCATATATTAGAAAAGAAAGTGATAAGAAGTCAGGTTATTCTGCCTTTGGTGTTTTTTTTTTTGGTAGTCAATCAAGATCAATTATCTCTTTTAAAAGGAAAAACCTCAAAGTATTTTATCATTAATTAAAGAATTGTTTTTGTTAAATTTTATTTTTTTATCTGTTGAAAATGAGAACATAGTCAAAGGTATTCTCCTTATGGTTGAAATTTTTTTTCAGATTGTACAATAAATATTAAGATTAAATTCATTTAATTCTGGTGAGCTATGCCCTATTGGTTTCAAAATGTTACTTCTTCTACAAGATTAGTTTGTTTAGGAAAGCTGAAAATGAACAACACCAACCAAGATTATCTCTGGGATTCTTTTTAGGTCCAAATTTCTATGATTTTATAGAAGCATTAGTAAAGTACTCCAAACATAGTTATGTCCAGAACCAGAGTTGTTATTCACTGGACACTGTGTCCTCTAAAGCAATTTCCCACCCTCTTCCTTTCTATCACTGGTTAAGAGTACCAGATTCATCAAGGGCCCAAGCTGACACACCAAGTCATCATGTTCAAACACCATTCTCACCTTCAGTCCTGCGTGGTACATCTTACTGATGGTGGTAACAGGTTAAATTCTAAAATCAGACCTGCGTACAGATGCCACCAATGCCACTGTCTAGCTGTGGCCCTTGGAACCAGCTGTGAGCCCCAATCTCATCAGTAAAACAAGAATAATACCACTGTCATTATTTATAAGAGGGCCAGGACCAGCAGTTGGCGTAATAGCTACGTTACTGGACTCCCATGTATTCGATTGTGGATCAGGTCCTGGACCTGGTGGCTTAAAACTCACGCCGGGCGCAAGTGTGTGCGTGCCCAAGATCCCAAGAGGAGAATGGAGGAGAAGGGATTGCGGCGTGGCCGTTCCCCCTGGGGGGGTGATTTCTCGCTTTTTGTCTCTCTTTCTCACTCTGTCTTTCTGGTGAGTGCACACACCCGATAGCAAAAACCTCTGAAAACAAAACAAATCAAAAAAACAAGTAACTTATACGAGGGCCTGTTGAGTGAAATAGACTTTTTGTCTTTTTCAGATAGCCTAGCAAAGAAAACTTGGTAAGTTGTCTACTAGATGGGAATTGATTAGTTCGTATTTTTGTCCCATTAACATAGGT